TTGTTTAAAAAACATTCTTTATTGCATACAAAGTATTTCATTGGAACACAATGTGCAGAAGCGGGCACAAAGTACTCGTGCCATACAAGGGTCTCTGAGGAAGTGCCTTGTATGGCACAAAACGCGTTAGCATCTCCCTCCTTTGTGTCCCATTGTGTTCCAATGTAATACATCAAGAAAAGATCATTTTTAAGTGACAAGATTGAGTTTGGTATTTTTGTCTTACATGTGGACCCTATGTTGTGGAAGCATTTATAGATTTTATAATTTTGTAAGGTTATCCCCAGTTGTACGTAGAAGGAGGTTGCACTATTTACCTCCTTTTTGCAGTGAGGGCTGGGAAAGACAGCAGATGTCAAAGGAGATGGTTGGAGTGAATGTTTTGCTCAAATAATGTGAAGTATACATCCACAGTCAAAGGTTAACCAGTATAGACCTTTAAACATTTCATAATGATGAGTAGTGTAATTATACTGGAGAACAAAGCAGCCTAACACATTTTACTGTGTGTAGAGCCCACTGAGATGAGTTTGCAGAACAGATGCCTATATAGCATACACACAGTTTATGACTGACATTAGCATTTGGCGCACAATCTGCTTTCTTATAAAAAAAAAGATAAAGGCATAGAGTATAGAGCTCTAAGTTTTGGATAGATTTTTCATTATGCAAGCCAACTAAGAGATTGTGATCTAAACACATAGCAGGATATTTAGAGAATATGTTAACAGCCAAGCTGACATTTTACTTTGTTCTTTTCAATTTTTAGTTATGGATTAATTTGTTTAAGTAATTTCAGCCTTGTTCCATATACACTTGCAGCTGTTTGCCTCTTTTGGTGATCTATTTTTCAATCTCTTAGAGAGCATCCTGTATGATATACTGCGTTTGGTTTTATTATATACATTTAATTGTGATATCATCTCCCTAATTGTGCATACCTCAAGGTCATTAATAAATGAGAACAAGAGAAGGTTTACTGAACCTTGGCAGATTTAAAAGTGAATTTGACTGTGTAAGAGACAGTGTTGGTGATGACTGGGACCTGGCAGACGAGGAAGGTCAGAATCCATTTAAATGATCACCTATGTGTACCTGATTCTTTTTTAATTGTATTTAACACAACTGTATTAAAGGACCACTCCACATACAAAAAGCACTTTAGCTTATTGAAATTCTTTATATGTAAGAAGTATCCCATTTTCTTTGCACTTAATGAAAGTGTCTATTTGTATAAGACATTGGCACTATTATAAATAAATACATGAATGCCTCCCAGGCTGTCAATATGTTACTCGGATGAGCCTATGGAAGTGGCATGGAATTGTCATAAAGCATGGAGCAGTAGTGGACCTAACAGAAGTGGCAGGTGTACTCTGCTAGATCGTATCTGCCACTGAGTCCCCCAAGTAATAGTGTGTTCATAGGGCTCATTGTACTTCTTCGCCCTTCTCTGCTCCTGATTACATCCTCCCTAAGCTCCAGCATGCTCTTCAGCTCCCCCCTTGCCAGGCGTCCGCTTGGAAGTGAGTTTGCGAAGACTGCAAACAGAAGATCTGCTGCTTTAGCATGTTTTTATTGTGGGCATATCCAGCAGACAGTGACTTTATGTGGAGTGCACATTTAGGCTCTGTGGCGAAACCAACCTCGCCAATGGGCATTGGAGAAGCCTGTTTGCCCGTCTCCTGCCTGCTGACTATGGCCCCTGGTAGATTTGGCCCTTTAAATACAGTATTTGGGCATATTTGGAATATCCATCTCTTCATCTCTATACCTAGATACATTTCCCCCTCCCTTACCTCTATTGCAAGCTCTCTGACCCTCACATCTCTTTATTTAACAGCCGATTCCCCAACTTTGCAAGCCCATTCCTTCAGTGAGCCAGCCTGATCGTCTGCAAAGCCTGATTCCCCAACTTTGCAAGCCCATTCCTTCAGTGAGCAAGCCTGATCATCTGCAAAGCCTGATTCCCCAACTTTGCAAGCCCATTCCTTCAGTGAGCAAGCCTGATCGTCTGCAAAGCCTGATTTCCCAACTTTGCAAGCCCATTCCTTCAGTGAGCAAGCCTGATGCCCACCCTCCCATGCCCACACAATCTCACCCCATGCCCATTATTACATTTATAGATTGTCTGTCACACCTACATTTTAGTTAGGTTATAAAAAACCTGCCTCTTATTAGTACACTCCTGCACTTTCTTAACCCATAAAACACCTTCACCTGCTCTTGATATTCCAATTATCTCCAATTTTTATTTTTCAGAGTTTAGCAATGATCTGTTTTCTCCTCCTCTTTATTTCCTCAGTCTCCCTCAGTATAAAAATCTCTCCTTACACCCACTTCACTCATCTCCCCATCCACATTTTAGACCCCATGCATACAAAACCCATTCACACCTCCTGTCACTTTCTCTCCTCCTACTTCTAGCAGCTGGTGATGTCTCTCCCAATCCAGGGCCCTTCACCTTCTCTACACACACTAAGACAACCAGAAACCCCACAAACCTCATCACAATACCCTGCCCTTTACCCTCACTTACCAAAATTAATTGTGCACTCTGGAATGCCTGCTCCATCTGCAGTAATTTAAAATCAACAACCATACACGACTTTTTCATCTCAAACTCACTCACACTGCTTGCACTTACAGAGACCTGGCTGTCCCCCTCTGATAGCGCTACTCCTGCCTCTTTATGTTTTGGTGGGCTACAATTCTCTCACACTCCCAGACTCAACTGTAAAGGAGGCGGCGTAGGCATCCTTCTCTCCCCTCAATGTACCTTTCAACCAATCATAACTCCCCCTGCCCTATCCTTTTCTTCTTTTGAAGTTCACACTGTCCGTCTATTTAAACCCAATCCTTTAAGAATTGCTATCATCTACCGCAGACAGGTATGGAAGGCTCTGGCTCTGAAGATGATTGGCTGGCCGAGGTGAGGCAGCAAGTGGCCAAGTACAGGGATGATGTACCCATGGAGATACGCCGGGTGATCTGGAACCAGGTCACGGCCGAGCGACACACAAGGCTGGCCCGAGAATTTCGGCTGGCGAAAGAGAGAGAGTATGCTCAGGGGAAGGAGTGTTACAGCAGCTGAGTAGAGGCTGCATCCGAGGAGGCTAGCCGTCTCCCCCTGAGGCCACAGGAACCCGAAGTAGGGGTCCTCATAGACTGGTCCTGTGAGGAACCACAACAGGCAGGTGGAGATGGGACCAAGGTCTCTCCACTGGGCCCACCAGGATGCTGGGCAGCCGGCCCAGATCCCCAGCAGCAGCCGGAGTTGCCAGGTGCGGAAGCAGGTGGTCCTTACAAATGTTGAGGGACCTCACAGACTGGTCCTGGGAAGACCCACAGATGGCAAGCTGAGATGGGACGGCGGTCTCTCTACCGGCCCTACAGGGATGCTGGGCGGTCGGCCCAGATCCCCAGCGGCAGTATGTATCACAGGGAGCTGAAGGTGCTGTCATTCCTCCCCAGCAGCAGTATGTATCACAGGGAGCCGAAGGTGCCGTCCTTCCTCCCCAGCGGCAGCGTATTTCACAAAGGGTAGACCTTATTCTCCCAGATGGGGCAGATGAGACAGTCGGCCTCGCTTCCCAGCAGCAGGACAATATATTGAAAGGGGAGACAGTCGGTCCCCCTCTTCACCAGCAGAGAGAGTGTCAGGGAGAGGAGCCTGTTAACCCCTCTCCCCAGCGGCTGAAAGTGTGTAAGGGAGAGGAGCTTGTTACCCCCTCTCCCTAGAGGCAGCGTAGCCCACCAAGGGGAGACACTAAGCCCCTCACCAGCGCAGATGGGACCATGGTCTCTGCGCCCAAGCTACAGGGAGTACGGACAGTTGGTCCTGCTCCCCAGCGACAGAGTATTCTACCAGGAGGGAAGAGTCTCATTCCCCCTCCCAGCGGCAGCATAGCGCACCAAGGGGAGACACTAAGCCCCCAACAGCGCAGATGGGACCGTGGTCTCTGCGCCCAAGCTACAGGGAGTACGGGCAGTCGGTCCTGCTCCCCAGTGGCAGAGTATTCTACCAGGAGGGGAGAGTCTCGTTCCCCCTCCCCAGCGGCAGCCGAGCCCACCAAGGGGAGATGATAAGCCCCACACCGGTGCAGAGGGGACCATGGTCTCTGTGCCCCTGCAGCAGGGCTGTTTATCCAAAGGGGAGACAGCCTGTCTTCCCCTCCAGCAGCAGCTCCGGGTCTGGAGTGAGGAGCCTACTACGCCGTTCCCTCACATGGGCTCCAACCAGGCTACTCCCGTGGTAGCGCTGGCACCAGGGCAGAGTACCACTGGTCTCTGCCCACCCAGCAACCCACCGATCCAGAGTGCTAGTACCCCCCAGAGCCGAGGTGGAGCTCCTGGACCTGGACAAGCGACCCACCACTCCAGGTGTAGTAACCAATTTTCGTGGGTGGGTTATACTGCGGATTCTGTTTTGTGGGTGGGTTGCTGGACTAACCAAGGCACTGACCGACAGGAGGCCAGATACCTTTTTAGTCTTTTTGGGAAAGGGGAGAAATGTGGCAAAACCAACCTTGCCACTGCGCATTGGAGAAGCCTGTTTGCCCGCCTCCTGCCTGCTGACTATGGCCCCTGGGAGATTTGGCCCTTTAAATACAGTATTTGGGCATATTGTATTTAATTATGCTGCTGGCCATTTAAGAACCATCTGGGGACATACTGTGGAGTTACTGGGTGGCCACCATTTCATGTATCAGAGGCACATGGTGAGAACAATGGATGAAGCACATGGTGAGAACAATGGATGGCGGCCATTTTAACTCACAGACACTGTTTGGACTTTTCAACACGGTGCCATCTCGCCAGTATTTGGTGCACGAAGACATCGTTCAGTAGTTTTAAACTATACAACAGGGGACACATTATACAGTAATTATTTTTCATGTAGCTTGTATATGTTCTGCGGAATCTGCATTGAACTGCATCTTCCAAACTACTGAACGGATCTGGGTGAATTTTGGATATGTGATTCACCCACATCCCCCGGTTCCGAGGATTTACTTTTTATGGGGTTATTGCATGTTTTGAGGTCCCTGTGATGTGTTTTATGATACTGTATTTCTCTGATAATTAGATAAACCATTGTGTTCAGTAATCATATCACAGGCAGAGGGGAGGATTTTGTGTGGGAGTGTCTGTGTGTATTGTATGGATTGATTGGTTGTATTTCAAAACCCTGTGGGCAGTACTATGTTTGTGGATTGTGAATAAAAGAGACTGTATGTGCCAGTACAGTCAGTTCTGCTTGACCTCAAAACGAAGTTTCGTCTCGTTATTGGGGGAATTAGATTGTATGCTGATTGCCAGGAGTGTAAGCTGATTGTATGCTTTTCCTGTTCAGCTGCTTACAGCATTCATATGCTTGAGAGCATTCGTATGCTTCTCTGGTTCGGTGTTTGTGGTTTCTGCTGCAGTGCTTGGAGTCCTCAGGAAGCGCTAGGAGCATCCTTCAACGGAGGTACTCAGTCGGGGTGCCAGGTGATCCGTTACAGGCTCCTTGGAAAAATCTAGGAATATGGATTCAGAAAGTTCATCTGTGTGTCCATTTAGATGTCATTTTACTCTTTGAGGAGGACATTATTTGAGTAATTTGAAAGACATAGAAAAGAGGTCAGAAAATTGGATTTGTAACTCAACGTCATGTTTTCTATGGCCTTTGACTGTTGAAAAAAAAAAAATCAGAATGTAGTTAGAAATGAAATTAGTGTGTCCACCTTTATGGATCAGTGCAGTTCTCATTATCTTCCAGAGTTTGCGTATATAACAATGCACAGAGAAAGATTAATTAGGGGTGGTATTTATAGCACGTTAAGCAACATTTCTGGAAGTTAGTCAGGCCCTGGTGCAATTCCATTATTAGACTAAGGAAATACTCAAAATAATTTGTTGATGGTCTTCAATTTCAGGTCGGCTATGTTACCAACAGTGACTAGTGGGGATGCACCTCTCTTTACAATAAAATAAAAATGAAATCTGTTGGTGTTAAAAGGGCTGCATGTATGTTAGGAAAAAAATGTTGTGCCTGTAATTTTATTTTTTTGCATCCTTGACTTGCTGCAGCCTGGAGCTGCTGCTAAGAGTTTGAAGAGCAAAGAATGAAATTCCAGGCATATAGCTTTTTGGTTAAAAAAACAAAAACATGCATGTGTCGGACACTACAAATTGATATCTTATATAGAAATAAGATGTAAAAATAACCCCAAAAATATTTATTAAAACAAAATACAGTAGCCTCGGTGAAGATGATAGCTCTACCGAAAATACTCTACCTTTTTAGGACCCTCCCGATTCGTCTCTCCAGCACCTACATTCGAGACTTACAAAACCTACTCATCACTTACGTATGGGAAGACAAAAAACCACGGGTGGCGAAATCTACCCTATACGGCACAATAACACAGGGAGGCATGGGAATGCCAAACATAATGGGATACTACAGAGCAGCAACAATAGCACCCATACTAGCGACTTCCCCGCAAAGAGAACCGAAAACCTGGGCCACAATAGAAAAAGACTATGCGAACGGCATACACATCTCGACTCTGGCCTGGCTACCGAAAAACAGCCTACCAAAACTGAACGAACTGCTGCCCACAACTAAGCTCACTCTCTCCATATGGAATGTCTACAAAAAACGGATGACTAATCCCGACCAAATCTCGCCCGCTCTCAGCATAAACGCCCTGCAACACCTCATACCGAATTTTAATCACTCTCTCTGGCATAGACATGGGATCAAATTGATGTCACAACTACTATGTGACACGCACCTTAAGACATATCAAGAGTTGGTATCGGAATTCACCCTACCCTCGACAGCAAAATACTCCTACATGCAACTGAAGTCATGGTTCGACAAAAACATGAAACAGCCACCTACCATCACACTGAACGCAGACTGGCGGAACGTAGAAAGACTTTACCTATCGCCAAAACCGCCTACCAAACTTATATCTACGATCTACCTTTCTGAAAACGCCCAGCATCAGAAAAAGCACCCCTCCCACATAATGGCATGGGAACGAGATTTTGGACGGCGACTTTCAGAAGCCCAATGGCGACGCATCTTTCGGACGCACCAAAAAATTACCCTTTGCGCAACCCACCTAGAACTAGCACGGAAGGTATTATACAGATGGTATTTAGTTCCGACACGCCTAAAGCGTTATTTTCCCAACACGTCCGACACCTGCTGGAGATGTGGCAACGACAAAGGCACTATGCTACATATCTGGTGGCAATGTCCAGAGCTCCAACAATTCTGGCGACAGGTGGCAGAGTTGACAACACACTGCATCGACACAAAATTACCACACCAACCTGAGACTTTTCTACTCCTCCAATTGCCGCACAAACTGACACTACACCATCGATACCTAGCCTACCACATCATTATAGCCGCTCTAACGACCATCAGCAGGAAGTGGAAACAAGCCTCTCCACCCACCATTGCACAATGCGTCCAAGCAGTAGACACAAACAAAACATACGAAACTATGGCAAGGGACACGCATGAAAAGACGTCGCACTGGTCCCTGGCTTGGGAGATCTGGGAGACACGCAGGTCTACCCACAAATAATAAGGACACGAGACTAACACCCACATCCCTAGACCAGAGACGTAAGCCGCCACACGAACCTCCACTGGTCAGACACACCCAAGCCCAAGACCCCAACTCAGCGAAGCCTATCTCTGAGGACCATCTCCCCCTTCCCCCCCCCCTCGCAGACCCAAGTAGCCCTTCCTCCTAGAACCACAAACAACCTTGGTAGTGGCCATTAGATAGGCACCTGCAACCTACACACGCGCAACTGAGCGCATCACAAGAAACCAGCCACCCATCATGAAACACCCCCAATGCACTTCTTGTTCAATAGCACTCTTTGACAGTACGAGACTAGCCCTAACGCAGTGTGCACATGGAACGCTACCCCAACAAGGTTTAACTAACACATTTCCCCCTTCCCTCCTTCTCTTTTGTATCCTATCCTAATTGCATTATACTGTGATTGTACTTATTATTTGCACCCTCTTACTCCCTTTCTATTCTGTACCCCGAGACATTCTATGTAATGCCTCCAACGAAAAACGAATAAAAATTGTCAAATTAAAAAAAAAAAAAAAAAATACAGCCAGAAACACTGTGAAATCAATTACTAAATTTCACCAGATAATACAAAACAGTACGCAATGATAAGTGAACATTTGTGTGAATAAAAAAAAATATATACACCTGTTCCAAATTAGTATGCAAATTATATTTTTCTCATTTACCTAAATAATTGATGTAAATAACAGTCCGCATAATTCTCATGTGATCAACTATTAAGAGTACAATTCAAATGTTATTGAACAAACCTCCTAATGAGAACAGTATTTTTTTTTTAAACGTAAAAAACCTACAATGCACTGTTCCAAATTATTACACACAGTAAGTTTCAAAACACTTTATAGGTTGTAAAGAACTGAAAATTGTCATTTGTTGTGTTTGCAGCATATTTACTGAAATAAAAAGCTATTTCAATCAAACTTAAACCAACATTTTTACTTTTTAAACATTTTAACAGGTCACGTTACATTTTAACATAGAACCCCTTATTTGATAGAAGCTTCACAAGTCTTGCATCCATTGAACTTGTGAGTTTTTGGACAGTTTCTGCTTGAATTTGTTTGCAAGATGTCAGAATAGCCTCCCAGAGCTGCTGTTTGGATGTAAACTGCCTCCCACCCTCATAGATCTTTTGCTTGAGGATGCTCCAAAGGTTCTCAATAGGCTTGAGGTCAGGGAGGATGGAGTCCCAACCATGACTTTATCTCCTTTTATCCCCATAGCAGCCATTGATGCAGAGGTATTCTTTGCAGCATGAGATGGTGCATTGTCATGCATGAAGATGATTTTATTACGGAAAGCATAGTTCTTCCTTCTCTACCAGGGAAGAAAGTGGTCAGTCAGAAACTCCACATACTTTGCAGAGGTCATCTTTACACCTTTGGGGACCCTAAAGGGGCAGACCAGCTCTCTTCCCATGATTCCGGCCCAAAACATGACTCCACCACTGCCTTGCTGACGTCGCAGCCTTGTTGGAACAGGGTGGCCGTCCACCAACCATCCACTACTCCATCCATCTGGACCATCCAGGACGGCATTCATCAGTGAACAGCACTGTTTGAAAATTGGTCTTCATATATTTTTCTTCCCAATGCAGCTGTTTCTGCTTGTGAGCATTGGTTAGTGGTGGCCGAATAGAAGGTTTATGCACAGTTGCAAGACTCTGGAGGTCTCTACACCTTGATGTCCATGGGACTCCAGAGGCACCAGCAGCTTCAAATATCTGTTTGCTTCTATATAATGGTATTTTAGCAGCTGCTCTCTTGATCCGATGCATGGATCTGGCAGAAATCTTCCTCGATGTTCCTTTATCTGCACGAACCCGTCTGTGCTCTGAATCAGCCACAAATCTCTTAATAGTGCAATGATCACGCTTAAGTTTTCGTGAAATATGTAATGTTTTCATACCTCGTCCAAGGCATTGAACTATTTCACTCTTTTCGGCAGCAGAGGGATCCTTTTTCTTCCCCATATTGCATGGAAATGGTGCTCTGCTTAATAATGTGGAAAATCCTCCTTTAGTAGTTTTTCCTTAAATTGGGCTCACCTGACAATCTAATTATCACAGGTGTCGAGATTGTTTTCAGTGATCAAAAGAGCCCTGAAACACAATGCCATCCATGAGTTAAACTGAAAAACAAAATATTTCATCTTTGTGACACTTAAATAGAATTTGCATAATAATTTGGAACAGGGTGTAGTACATAAAATAGCATATACCATACAGGATCTTCTTAAATGTGACTGTAAAGAAAATATAGAAATATCATAGAGCAAAACTGTTTGTACACAGATGGATAAACATGTATTAAAAGCACTTCTGATGGAATCATAATCATCACATTTTCTAAGCCTAAATGTACAGGCTCAAGTACATCAGCATGGGCATGTATTTGGGATCCAAGCAGATATTTTTCAATAAATGGACCGACCAAGATGAGGAACAATAAAGGCACTACCAATTAGAACAAGATAATAAAATGTATAAAAAAAAAACAAAAAACATAAGTCTAACATGTAGGTAAGTATATTGCAACAATGACAGTCCTACAATTATAAGTACACAACGCGTTTCAATGTTCCCGTCATTCCTGTCCTTATTGCTAAACTGCATCTGCTTCTACTAGATGTCAGGCAAATTAGAAATTGTTGGGATCTAACCTCTTTACTCACATATCACTATAGATGAAAATCCTATATCACTAGGGACACCAGCTTAAGTCATAGATGGTGACTCTATTACACCATCATGTCAGGTGTGGTATTTAAATAAGAGGTGTGCAGATCCCACTATTAACTATGGAACCCAGCAGATGGGCCACCTCTTCTTTCGGAGGTGGAGGAATGGAGGAGTTTATAACAGGGGTTAAGTCCTCAGTGGCGTACTACAAGGGATGGCGGGGAATCGGTCTGCCCCAGGTTCCATTCAGTAGAGGGGTGTCAGGGGTGCACTAAGACAGGGGCGGCATTTTGCCATCCCTGTGTCTGGTGCAAGGGACCCGGGCCGCCAATTTCTGAAGAGAGGCCTAGGATTCTCCAAGTTGAATCTAGATCAGCAGCAGCTCCTCTCCTCTGGCAACCGGCGAGAGCATTGTCACGGGCTTCTATGGCAACAATCTGTGCTGCACGCAATGCATGCTGGAGCCATGGCAACCCGCAGCAACACTCGTGAGTCGCGAGAGAAGCTGCTGCTGATCTAGATTCAACATGGAGACTCCTGGGCCTCTCTTCAGAATCCAGGCTGCTGTGCCACCAAACCACTAAGGAAATGTCCCCCTTTCCTGACACTCAGGTAAGGAGTTGGGGGGTGGGTTAAGTCCAATTAATTAAAGACGGTTCACTCAACCATGTCACTCCCACAACCCCCTGTCACCTTGCTACACCCTGCCCCCTTCACATCCTGCCCTCCACACTGTCATCACACTGTCTTCTTCCTACACCCTGCCCCCCACACGGTCACCCCCACACCTTGCTCCCACCATCTTCCACACGGTCATCTTTCTACACCATGCCCCCCACAATGTCACCCTGCCCCTTCACACTGTCATCTTCCTACACACTGCCTCCATACTGTAACCTTCCTACACACTGCATCCACTATACACACATACACACTGTGTACCTGTGTGTCTGTGTATCTGTAAGTGTGAGTATCTTTATTTGTGTCTGTATCTGTAAGTGTGAGTATATCGGTGTGTATGTGTAGCTGCATATGTGCGTATCTGTGTAACTGTGTGCGACTGTGTGTCTGTATGTGTGTCAGTGTGTGTAGCTATGTGTGTTTGTGTATCGGTCTGTCAGTGTGCATCTGTGTGTCTATGTATCTAAATGTGTGTCAGTGTGTGTATGTATATATGTGCATATATCTCAGCATCTTGCCAACAGTACCCAAAAATACACCCCTGCTGATTCAAATGCCAACACTACATACAAACACATCCCTATAGTCACTCACACATACGCCATACAAAAACATGCTTACATTCAAACACACAAACACTGCTGAGTGCTAAATACATTAACATATTTTGCGGGTGTGTTTTACATTTTATAGTTGGGGGGTGCCAAATATAGGATCCACTGTAGGTACGCCCCTGCAAGTCCTTAAAAACTAAATCTGTAGGAACTAATAAAAATCATAAAACTTTGTCATTCACTCTTAGATAGATTTATATGTTAACCTCTTGTGACTGTTTTTTTTTCCAAAAGTCCATGCACTTGTGACTGAGGTTTTTTTTTGTTTTACACCTTTACTATATGTTTGTTTCACTGTACTTTACAGTTTTCCTGTTCAGTTCTCCCACACATATTATATATTGTTTTTTAAAGGACTGATAGGGTTTTATCTTGATACCGTAAATGTATGCATAGCTCAACAATATAGAGTAAAATATTAAAATATGAGAAAGTAATGAAATTTGCTTTTAATTTAAACTAAAAAAACAAACCTTAAAATGGATTCACTTATTAGTCTTCATTGCTAAAATGCCTAATACGTCCAGGATTTATATTCTAGAGCAGTGATGGTGAACCTATGGCACGCGTGCCACAGGTGGCACGCCGGGCCCTTTCTGTGGGCACGCGGCCACAGGTCCGCCATCAATGCAGAGTAGGCGCCTGTCTGCCCGAAACGGCAGGCGCCTACTCTGCTTCCGGGTTGGGAGGCAGGGGGAGGGCTCCAGGAAGCAGCTCCCCTGTCCTCCCGCGCGATGCTGTGTGGAGCGTTGCCGCGCGTTACCATGGCAACAGCTCACACAGCATTGCGCGAGAGGACAGGGGCTGCTCAAACTCAGTGCTACCACAACCGGACCACCAGGGATGGCTGTGTCCCCCCCTTCATTAAAGGTAAGAAGGAGAGGGGGGTATACTGACACAGCACCCCTACCCCCCAGCAGTAACCCTTCCAGCTACCCCCAGCAGTACCCCTACCCCCAGCAGTAACCCCCTACCCTCCCCCAGCAGTAACCCCTACCCCCCAGCAGTACCCCTACCCCACACAGTACCCCTACCCCCACACACAGTGCCCCTACCCCCCACACAGGTACCTACCCCCAGTACCCCTACCCCACACACAGTACCCCACAAGCAACCCCTAGCAGTACCTACCCCACACACAGTACCCCAACCCTCCCAGCAGTACCCCTACCCCCCCCTCACACAGTACCCCTAACTCCCAGCAGTACCCCTCCCAGCAGTACCCCTACCCCCACACACAGTACCCCTACCCCCCGCAGCACCCTTACACATATAGCACACACACACAGCACCCCCCCCACACACACACACAGCACCCCTCATATACAACACTCACACACACACGCACCCCGCACCTCAATGCAGTATGTGTGTATTCAGCAGTGTGTGTGTGTGTGCGTGTATTCAGCAGTCTGTGTGTGTTTGCGTGTATTCAGTGGACTGTGTGTGTGTACTCAGCAGTCTGTGTGTGTGTATCAGCAGTCTGTGTGTGTGTGTGTGTGTGTACTCAGCAGTCTGTGTGTGTGTACTCAGCAGTCTGTGTGTGTGTGTACTCAGCAGTCTGTGTGTGTGTGTACTCAGCAGTCTGTGTGTGTGTACTCAGCAGTCTGTGTGTGTGTGTGTGTACTCAGCAGTGTGTGTGTGTATACTCAGCAGTCTGTGTGTGTGTATGTACTCAGCAGTCTGTATGTGTATTTATCAGTCTCTGTATTCAGCAGTCTTGTGTGTGTATTCAGCAGACTGTGTGTATGTATTCAGCAGTCTGTGTGTATGTATTCAGCAGTCTGTGTGTGTATGTATTGCATTTGTTGGAGATACTAATAAATATAAGCTTAATTTTATCTATTTATATCATTATTTAAAATTTGTATTATTGAACTCTCTGTGTTCTTTAAAAACAAAAGTTATTAGTTAGGACAACAGTACGAGTTGTTTTTTTCTAAACTTAAACCTCAGTATTTGGGTTTAATTGCCGTGTTGGCACTTTAAGGAGAAAAAATGTTGGCATGTATTGCGGTTTGGGCACTCGGGCTCAAAAAGGTTCGCCATCACTGTTCTAGAGTTATATATATATATATATATATATATATATGTATATAT